AGTAGTAGTAGTAGTAGTAGTAGTAGTAGTAGTAGTAGTAGTAGTAGTAGTAGCAGGAGGAGGAGGAGGAGCAGGAGGAGGAGGAGGAGGAGCAGTAATACATGTAGCAGTATTTGTCAGTGGTGGAGATGGTGGTGTTTGCTGCAGCTGTTGACGAGTGTGACATGATAATGGTGGTGGTAAATGCTGTGGTGTTTTCATTATTATTCGTTTTCTTTAAGTTTTTTCTATGGGTATTACTGTCACTACAGCTGTAGTTATAGCCGATATGTTTGGTACCGTAATGCACATTAACACTAGACGTACATCGACACAATAACGGACATTTCCTTTGGTAGAAGCAAAAGCAAGGCAAACACAGAAATAACAGAGAGAAAGAAAAGAAGTAGGACCTACTATGTTGAAGGAAACAAAAGAAAACGAGAAACATAAAAATGCCAGCCTTAATGTCACGTACTTGATATTGCTGAGCCTCGCTTTGTGCTGGTGGCACAGTGGTCAGCCGAGTGGAGTTGACTCTTCCGTTGAAGGTTGGCCTCTGGTGGAGGATCAAAACGATAATGTTTGAGATATAACGACGTTAGTCAGGCAAGCTGACACAATACGCTACTTCTCACAATCGGCATGTGTGGAGATATCAGCCGAAAATATACACAGGGGTCAAATTTGTACATCTTCAACTGATGCTATTTTCTTCAAGTCTGACACATTAAAAAAGTTTTAGTAAGTTGGTTTTTTTTTGGCTCTTGTAACACAATTAAGTCATAATATAAGTGCCGAAGATTAGAGGTATTACAAAAGAGTACCACACACAAAAACGAAGGGGGAGAGATTATGACAATCGATGTTTAAAAGGAAAGAAAGGAGCAAACCACACCAGAGAACCCGCCAACCACACGCAACCTTAACAACACATCTTTTATCATTTCATCCTTATAGATTGTACAAACTCAGCCTAAAATTTTCACATAGCAATTTCCATAAAGCCAAAATCTGAGAAGGAACCTATTTTATCTGCTCGACTCACGACATAAGCACGAAAAGGGCACCATCGTTAGTTTAGTTTTTACAATTTTATATAAAAACCTTATACGGGACTTGCTGCACAAATAAGAGAAGATCAATGTTTGACAGCAAAGAAGGAGCAAACTACATCAGGACACCCTCCAACTATACCTACACGATGAACTGAAACAACGTATAACCACCACTGTAGCAGTTTTTTGCTGTTGTTGTTATTGTTGTTGATGCTGTTGTTGTTGTTGCTGTTGTTGTTGTTGTTGTTGTTGCTGCTGCTGCTGCTGCTGTTGTGTTGGTGGTGGTGGTGGTCGGGGTGGGGGTGGTGGAGATCGTGACACTAAATCCTCAACACCTCCCCCTTTTCCTCCTCGGCGCTCGTATGACCTCGTTTAATTGCGAAGGCCGTAAAACTTTTACCAATCAACTTCTCTTCTTCATCCTCGACAGGGTATTTTTGCCCTTTATTTCGGCGTAATGACATGAACCCATTGTGAGCAGGATAGTGGCGAAGTTTTTATAGAGAGCAAAGAGCGGCAGCCATGACACTACACAGTCTATGATATTATGATTCAAATCTATGATGTCTACATAAAATAATGTAAACGTATGTAGGTGTTAGTGTTTATGTTTTTTACTGTAATGCCAGATACCCTAAAGTTAATTCTGGCATGCTTCACAAGAGAGCGGACACTTAACGGAACATTCACAAAGGAGATAAGATCTCTAAAAAATGAAAAGAAAAAAGAAAACGAAAACGCGTGTGTGTCCCATTGGTGTAATTCTAAAACGTTTAGCGTACTTCCAAATTTATTAAGACTATAAACAATCGTTTTGTTGGCCTGTTGTAAATCTCTACTTGCGAGTCAAGAACGTCATGATATTGTAATAATATTCAACTCTTTCCCTCTGGTTCGCCGCTGTAAGTGATGAACCAAAAAAGCCCATAACTTTTGCATCACTGCTCCGTCTGGCATTCTTAGTAATCACTTGTTCCAATTTCCACATCTCATTTCCCTTTCTATACCCGTTCTACATTCATATGTGAGGTAGCGTGGTGAAATCAGGCTCTCGTCGAAATAGTGAAAGTCAAGAAATTGGCATTTTCCTGCAGGTTTGGGAATTTTTATCGAATTTTTGTGGGTTTCTTTTGGTTCAAAAGATTCCAGGGACAGTAAACAGAACTTTTCTGTGTGGATTTTACTGAAAAACATTGATTAGAGGCAGAAGGAATATTCATTTTCAGTTTCCACGGTCTCAAGCTTCAGAAATAACTTAACTTTGGCGGCCATTTTCTCGCTAATTTTACCTCTGAAACCAGATGACCCTCACCTCCTTCAATCACACATATCTCGACTTCTATTCAACATAGATGGGTGTTATTTCTTCTTTTCCAGTTCACTACATCTCGCCATTATTGCTGTGACCTTCGATTTTCTTATGAGTTCTTGAGCCTAATCAAAAATTTAAAATAATTTCCAACCACAATTCAGAAGTATTCAATTTTTTTATCCGGAGGGGAAGGGGAGGGGGGGTGAGGAAGGGAATATGAATCCGCATGCATAAGCTCTGCTTCTGGAAGAGATGGGATGGAAAACAAAATAAGAACAGAAAACAAACGTGCAAAGACACATTCAATTGCAAATGCTTCGTTGATAGGCTTGTGCGCAGGCTCAGATAGACTACAGTAACATACAATCAGTAAACTGCTCTGGGGAGCTTAAAAAAAAAAAAGATTCAGACAAATTCATGCAACTGTCAGCGCCTCCTCGTTCATACTTGACAAGAAGAAATAAAATTACGCTTTCGTTAGTATGTCATGGCACCAGTGTTCGGAATGTTTTTAATCTCATCATGCCACATGCAGGCAAAGCACAAGATAAACAATTATCAATGCAAGTCCTTTGGTATACTACATGAGATTCGTGAGAGTACATAGACAGTCATAGGACACTATGATATAGATATTGTAGAAGAGAAAAGTGACCGTCTCAGAAAGGTGGCCGTCTTACACCTCACTGTGATTATGATATAATAAAAAATCAAAGGGGAAATGGGGCGTGGCCGTTTGTACAGGTGATCATCTCATACAGGTGACCGTTAGAGCAGATTTGACAGTACATGTATATATATATAACAAGAGAGCGAAAAGAAGTTGGACTAACTAGTGGCACCCTCCAACCCCCC